CCTCTCTCTTCCCCTCTCCCACCTCCTTTTCCCAGTCTCCCCCAGTTTTGTTCAATAAAGACAGATTCCATTTTGGAAGACATGTTATCTTTATTTTGTATATCAAGAAGAGGGGCTGGGGAAGGGTAAGTGGAAGAAGGTGAGGGAGGAATGGGGCATGAGCCCCTGATGGGGAGGACTGGGCTGGCTCTGCGGGCTCCTTGGGGTGGAAACTCTCCTGCAGCCCCCCAATTGCCCCCTCTCCCCAGATGGCAGCCTGCGGCAAGTGCAGCCGGGCTGATGGCCGAGTGCTGTGATGTGCCCAGTGTGGGTACTCCGGGCAATCCAAGCCAGGACTGCTTTGCAAGTGGGGCACCCCTGAGAACTGTCTGTCCGGGGTGGGAGTCGGGTCCCTTTAAGCACAGCCCCCGGCTAGCCTGAGGCAGCAGCTCCACGCTCTAAGTCCTCATCTGATGCCCTGCCGGCACTGCTTCCAGCCATCCTTAAGTCTGGTTCAGGGTCCACTTAATGTGGACATGCTAGTTCGAATTAGCAAAATGCTAATTCGAGCTAGTTTTTTAGTCTGGATCTGTTAGTTCGAATTAGCTTAGTTCGAATTAACTAATTCGAACTAAGTTAGTTTGAATTAGCGCTGTAGTGTAGACATACCCTCCATCATGTACAACGTTATCAAATGAAGCAGTTGAGACACGTTACTGGGCACTCACAAAAACAAATCTTTAGATTCAGCCTCCTCCCAGGACAAATATTTGAATTGGAACTTCCATAGCTGAATATGCTAATGTTTGTTCCACTTCAGGATCCAGCAGGAAACCTGCCTGACATCTGGTTATCTGGATTTGTGGGCTTAGTATTACTCACTGGGATTACAAAAGTGCAATGACAAATATAAGGGACTTCAGCTGGTCTTTCCTTGGTTTGCTGTGTGGTCTGACAGGGAAGGAGGAACATGCTGTGGGAATAAATGAGTACCCCCTCATTTACTCTAAGATAGGCTGTACTCATTCCACACAACTATCATTATTCACCTGAGGGAAAATGAGTTAGAGATAGCAAAAGGGTTAATTTGTACCATCAGAACAGAGTTCTCATCCTCACTTCAGCTTTCTTCTCCTTCTTGGATTTGTCCTTGTGGTAATTGGCCAATTTGGTCTTGGTAAAAGAAATGTCACAGGAGAAATATTCATATAAATTTTGCAAAAAAAAAAAATACGTGACTATTGGCAATATTTATTTTCAGCAAAAAAGAGTGGCACACACAAAAATCAGCAAGGGGATTGTAAAAAACAAAAAATTAAGTTGGTGACCATAGATATAGAAATGGCCTTAGGAAAGTTAAATTTGTGCCATGTGCACTTGTGGATCATAAAACAGACTGGCATTGACAAGAATGAATATCAAATTGAAAAAGGTACAAAAGGTCAAATGTTACTAAGATGGAACAGTGAAGCTCTGTGAATCCTGAGATACAAAGTCACTAGCAAGAAGCGTTATGGATCATTAACTAAAATAGAGATCAGTTGACTTGGGAACATCTGAAAGATGCTATTAAAGAAGCTTCAGATAAATAATTAGAAAAACGCAGAATAACAAATGTAATCATTGTTCTGATGGATGAAACAACGAAGGAAAAAGCTCACAATAAGAACAGAAAGACGAGGAATACTGAAGATGAATAAAATGATTAACAATAAATGCAAATTTGTAAAGTCTAAATGGATTAATTAGAAATTCAAAGTTGAACAGCTGGACAAAGAACTAATCAAGTGAGATGTCAAATAAAAGAGAAGGACAAATATGGACAATACTTTAAAGATCCTAAACGGTAATAATAAGAGATGGTGAGACAACATAAAAAAATGTAATGGTGAAGTGCCAAAAAGCTTTCAACTAGAGATCAATAAAGTAACTCTGCCAATAATAGGTGAAAAAATTATGCTAGCAATAAAAAGAGTTCTGAATAGAAAAGCACTAGGTTCTATTGGAATACCAGTTGAACTGTTAAAAACCCTAGAGGATAAAGGCTTGAAAGGATTGTTAGAGGTAACAAAGATGATGTCTGAGACAAGCAAATTGCCGTAACACTTTACAACTTCACCCTGTGCCCAAATGTATCATAAAAAGGATAAATAGGAGTTCCATTTTATCTTCTTTATTTTATTCATTACTTTATCATGTCCTTTTCTATTAATTTCTTCTCTAAATTGAACAATCCTAAATTTCAAATCTCTCATATGGAGGCTTGTCCGATGGCTCTAATCATATTCATTGTCCACCTCTGAATACCTTGTATTTGTAGTGCGCATCTCAAGAATCTTGTATTTTTCTATGCTCTCCATTCCCTCCTACATTCCATGCTGATATTTAGAAAATACCAGATTATTACATAAGATTATGCTTTTATTATTGCTTTACATAAACTTTTCTAGCAGCACTATGATCTTCCTTATTTTCAGTCTACTACTTTTCAGTCATTCTTTGCCACAAATGGTAGCATATCAACAGATTTTGGTTTCTACTGAAAAATCCCAACAACATCTACATTAATATTAATATTTCCAGCTAAAGTAAAATACTAATAATTCATTAATGAAACATTAAGTCTTAAAATAGTCATTTTCACATATAATTCCCTTTGATTAGTAATGAAAAGCAGTACACATAAAATTTAAATCATATTTTTTTTTTACATCCCTTCCCTGTCATTTAATGTATGAGAGGTCAGATTGCTAGAAAAAAAATGAAATATATACCTGATTCCCTTGCATTGTACCATTTATTACAACTAACCAAATTACATGCTGCCAAAGTACCATGAGTAACATTTTAGAATACTTGATTTCTTACTCTGAATTCTGTTTATTCCTGAATTATTTCTGAAAGTCAACCTGAAGATTTTTACTCTTACCTGACGTAAGGTGCGTGCCACTAAACTCTCCAGTACTGGTCCTCTGTCTTCATGCAAAAGATGAACTTCATCAAGAATAAGGAGCTTCACAAGTTGAGAGAGCGCTACATCCCCAACGCTCTTTCTTGTCACTACATCCCATTTCTCTGGAGTGGTGACGAGCATCTGGAAAGAAGAAGAATCTTAAGCATCCACAAAAGGAAAACTCATGCCAACTACATCAAAGAAACTATTTTATCAAACTAACACTGCAGGTAAAAATTTCAAAACCATTTAAGTGACTTAGGAGACCACAGTTATACACACTGCTGCAATTAAACCCCAGGGCTGGCCAATGCCAGCTGACTACGGTTTGCGTAGCTCAGGCTTACGAGCTGTTTAACTGAGATGCAGATGTTCAGGCTCTGATACCCTCACCTCTCATAGGGTCCCAGAAGCTAGGTTCCAGTCCCAGCACAAATATCTATACCACAAAAATTAAGCAGCCCTTTAGCCAAAGCTGTGCAAGCTCAAATCATCTAGCACAGGCATTTAACTGCAGCACAGACATACTATTATATCTTTTGGTGAAACTTTGGGTAATAGAAATGTAGCCGTGATAGTCTGGTGTAGCTGAAGCAAATTGCAGGACTATGTAGCACTTTAAAGACTAACAAGATGGTTTATTAGATGATGAGCTTTCGTGGGCCAGACCCACTTCCTCAGATCAAATAGTGGAAGAAAATAGTCACAACCATATATACCAAAGGATACAATTAAAAAAAATGAACACATATATAAAATAAAATAAAAGCATGCTTCCACAAATTGTGGCTCCTCTAGGAGATCCAGACATTTCTTCAGGAGCTCTAACCAGGGACTAAAGATAAGTTTTTCCAAAACCAGCTTATTGTTTATTCATGCAAAGTTACATAACAGCATAGAAAAAGTGGAGAGAGAGAGAGAGAGAGAGAGTGTGTGTGTGTGTGTGTGTCCACACACATCCTCTCCCCCATCTTACCTGAAATTAGGTGATTTCTGTTTAGCCTAAATACATCAATCTTTAGGATAGAAGAGAGACAGCCCTGTTTCTTATCGTGTATCTGTCACGATACCCTGTTTCTCTCCCCATCCCTACTCCTGAGCAGCTGCTGACTCATACACCCTTTCTTTCTCCAAAGGGAAACTTCAAAGTGTTCTTTTGATCTCTAGACTCTGGCCAAGGCTGAGTTACTTCGCTGGTGCCTGGAAACACTATCTCCCCAATTACTTACCCAGCTATTATTATCTTAACTCTCAATAAATTGTTTACCCCAAGTGTCTTACCCCTACCATTATTTCCTTTACTGCTTGCTCTTCCTAACTGAACCCTTTTAATTCACTCCATGTTTCAAGACAGATCATCAAACAGGTAAGCTGTTGTATATATAGTAGTCATAAAAACAGTACAAAACTTGCCCCCATTCTGCACACCATCTGATGACCTAATCAGACATGATAGGTTACAGATTTATGCTGTAAGAAGCACTATCTTTAATTTGCAAATTGCAGACAGTAGCCACTATCAAAGATAAAATATTTTACAACAGATATCATGGTTATTCTGTGCTTTAAGTACACAGAAAATGGATGTATTATATACCCTGCACAGTAAAAACTGTCAAACAATGGAAGGTTTTTGGGTGTTTATTGCCTGGCATTTATTGTAAGGACAGTCATTTGTTATTTATTTACACCCTTATAAATGATGTGATAAATCACTGTCCTGATAGTCATAAATCTGATACTTCAAGGACATGAAGAACACTTACCTGGCTCTCTTTCTTTAGGTTCAGTATAAAAGCAACTTTTAACTACTTATATACAGTTTACAGTGCTATCATTATATTTGTAAAGCAAATTGTAAACAGAAAATAGAATAATTACAGTTCAGACCTGAATAATTCATTGAGGCTATATTATAAAATTAAGAAACCATCAAATTTTACTCATATGAGAAAATAAAAAGAGCCTTAGTTTTCCTCTAATGAACAATGAGGCGTACAGATTCTGATTAACTTGTCAGTGTTAACAAAGGCTGAGGATTTTTTATTAGTGAATGCATTGCTCATGAAGGAGTACGATTAATACTTTTACATTTTTTCCTATTTAGTAATAGAAAATGGATAGAATTGACCACTTTTCCATATTGCCTCATCTGTGAAATTCAGCATAGATTAGTAAGGATTATTTCAAATAGATTAATTCAGCCTGAAGTGTATTTGAAAATTTGCTTCATTTGCTATGCCTGTTAATAAGATTACCAAAACCCTATCATAAATTGACAGTGTAGATGCATGTCATCTAAGAATTGGACTCATAGAATTAATTCATTCTATATATGCCATTGAGTACTATGGAGATTGCTTTCACTTATTACTGATGTTGGCCAGTGATTTAGAAGGTAAGGTCCATACTGCCTTGCCAGTTTCCAGGATTTTCTAAATAGTTTGTCATTAAAAATGGGAATCCTAGATTATAAATACTGCATAATTTCTGGAACATTTAGCTGCAAATTATGAAAAATCAATCTAGGATTAAAAGTTAAATCCACTTTGAGTACAGTTTTCTAAAAGACATACGTTTGGAGTGTGAGTACTGAGTTTGAGTTTTGATATAAAATGTAGCTATATTAAAACCGAAGACAACATTTTAAGAACTCTTTCATTTATTTACACCAAATGAAAAAAATATTTTTACTGGGAAAAAAATCATAACTAAACAATCCTTCTAAACTTTGCACTGAGCAAGAATCAATGCTTCACACCAGAAATTAGATTTAACCCTAAAGTCTTGCAAGATAAAATACGGCATAATTTTCTTTCTTGTTCTTCCAAACTTTTAAAAAACTCAACTTTTCAAAACAAGGAAATGTTAAGTGTACCAATGATTTGTTAGAATAGAACAAAAGGAAATGTTATCACATTATCTGTACCCAGCATGTGCCCAGTCATTACATTGCATGTAGCGACTCACGTGATGCTACCCACATATTTCTATGGAGACCGTGTTTTTGAATATGCATAACTTCAATATACTTTATACAAAAGAGGGCAAGTAACCTATCATTCAAGACCCTATAATGCCCTGATGAAAGTGTATATTTTACTAGAAGACTTACCTGTTAGAGATCGTGGGGCAGAGGGAACTACACAGGTCAGCCCTGCCGGCACTCCCAGTCTCAGTTTGGGTACCAGAGAAGAGGACCTGCACAGGATGGCCCTGGTGATGCTCTCCAAACCCAGCACAAGGGGGAGCAGAGAAGGTGGGGGCTGTATGGTGGGGCAGAAGAGAACTGGATGGCCTGGAGATGCTGTGTGTGAGGGTTGTGCTACCCAGCCCCAGCAGTACTCCTGAGGAGCGTGGGGCTTCTCTGCCTCCACTCCAGCTCTGCAGCCAAAGACAGATGGATTTGGGGCAGAGGGGCCATTACCGGGGTGGTGGTTGACAAGATGGACAAACCTTGGTCCCAGCGAGGTGAGCTGAAGCAGTACTAAAGCTAATTTATTAATACAGATTATTAAGGGTAAGGTGATACTCACACACGCATATATCACATTCATACTGGCAGTTGAAGGTAGGCTGCAGATGTGGTGTAGATATCTTTCAATTTCACATGTGGCTTAAGCTGGCCAGGCATCAGCTTCCCAGAAACCGACTTTAGGGTTTACAGCTATCTCAGAAGTCCCTTGGATCTACAGGAGGGCTACTGCCTCTGATTCATTCCCAGGTTTCACATGTTTATCCAAAAGGAGATAAATTAACTGGCGAGTGGCCAGGAAGTTCATCTACTTTTCAGGGTCTTTGTTTGCCTTAAAAGCTCATGAATCTCAACTGCCTTTTTGGTTGGTTATTTCTCATTCACACTTCACATTCACTCCACAGGTTACATACATATGCATAAGTCTACATAGAATCCAGACTCATGGCCTTGAGTAACGAGAAATTGCATTGTCTAACATACTAAAGATAACATACCAAAGGCATGATGAAACCCTTAACATAAATTCTACCCAAGAGCCACGGTCAGGGAAAAGGGAGAAGCAGAGGAGTATGTCCAGTCAGCTATATGCCAGTGGAGAGGAGGGAGGGGGTCATGTCCGACTAGTTCAAGTATATACAGATTGTACCTCCCTAACCGGGACTCCCTGGCCTGGCAACATCCGTGGTCAGCATAGACCACGGATGATCCTGGACCACAAAGCCCAGGAAGAGGGAGGTCTGGCGGTCAAGCAGAAGCACCATAAGGGGCATCGGTGACTCAGACAGAAGCCCAGAGTATGTGTGGTGGTGGGACGGGGGTGGGAGGAGAGGGAGAAGGGAAGGAAGGAAGGGTGGCA